CCCCAAAACCCCAAAACCCCAAAACCCCAAAACCCCAGAGTTCATATAATTAATAGATAAATGGTAGTAATCATCAATATTAATTTACGTTTGACTCAGATACTTTTGCATATGTGCCATAATACTCTGATCTCAGATCGACCCCACGAGAACCAGGAGACTCTATCCTTTCATCAGTAATTTCCTCTGCTAGCAGCTTCTTCTTAATGCTTTGGTGGTTAGTCCCGATCCAAGGATTACTTTTCATTTTTCCTGCTTTTGCATTATCTGGAGACTCCTAAATATGGCTGAGAAATCGGTTTACAACCTTGATTAAGAAATTTAGAAGCAATTTATAAGTCTCTACTTTTGATATATAATAGTAAAACTAATCAGATGAATATGGCTTTCGTATGCAGTGCATCAAGGTTAGAGAGACATATTCTTAGGCTGTACTGAACTCTTAGAATTTTTAAGATATAAAAACCAACAATTCAGGACTCGATGAAACATTTCTATATTTTACATCTAATAGTTGAGAGTTCGGAAAATGATAAATAATATTTACCTTATTTACTAAGTTTTTTCTTAGCATCTTAGTAGTGAAATCCGAATTCTTGGTACTTTTCTTATCCCAACTCTGCTTAATTCTTAAATTCCTTCTATTCTTTATTTTCTGCTTTAGAGGACTTCTCTTTTTACTATTAGTCTGACTAGTGTTCAAGTTAGGAAGTAGGATATTTGCGTCACTATCAGATGAGACATTATCAGGATCGTCATATCTCTCTATTCCATTTCCATTAAAGTCTGATTTCTTCTCCCAATGTCCTTTCAATCTATTACCAATTTAACATAAAAAGATTACAAGTCGTTATCTTGTGATTTTATTGTTGGCAATCTTGCCTTTGGCTAAAGGTAAAATACTTAACTTACATTTTTAATCTGAGAGGATGACTCTAAATTGGATTCGATAGATCCCTCATGTTTTGCAAAACCATGTCCCATTGGACTCGCAATGATCTTTTTCTTAATCATTGAATCTGAAACTCCAAAATTGTGAAGCATCTCTATAAAGTTCTCAACTTGGTAAGGGCTAATATCCCGATGGGACTCATAATGATCATTGGCATAATTCCCTCTTCGATGACTCTTTTTGATAGTATTGTTATATTCCTGCCTTTCAGAATGGATATACGAAGTTGTACTATACATATTGTTGCGTTGGGCAGCATCTGGGGACTTCCAATTTTGTATCTTAGGGTTGAATGACTTCTCTTTGACTGTAGTTCCAGCTGTCTTGTACCCCTTCTTTTTGTTCTTAGAGCAGGCTAGGATTAAGTTTCCATCAACCTTGTACGACCCATTAATGACAACTGAATTCTTCTTTTTGTGATACTTTGACCTAAGATATTAAGAAACCCACTTACTGATCTTTCTTGATCGTATTTCTAATATTATCATTATTTTTAGTGATAGAAGAGATGCTTGAGTTTTTACTCATAAATCTACATTTTAAGGCTCTCAAACTTACTTTTCATTATTAATTTTGTGTTTTACTCTATTCGCAAGCCTCGGCCTTTTATTTAGCAGAGGAACTCTTTATATGCTTCTTAATAGTAGATGGATCACTCAATGTCTTGCGAATCTTTTCTCTAAAGCATTGTAAAATCTATTACTTTTTATTGAACATATTAGGATGTAAATGTTGATTCTTCTTGTCCTTTTCAACCTCAGTCCTTTTATTTATGTAAGGATGAAAAATTGTTCATCTTTCCGCTAACCTTGGTCTTGGTAGTTGCTTCTTCATTTTCTTCCTTTATTTTCTCTGGAAATCCTGTGTTGAGGTTATTTAAACCCAATAAGATGAAGGTTTTTGATCCTCCCTTTGCTGCCAGTGAAATCGTCTACAGACGAAGTACTCTCGGAGTCAAGATATTCACCTCCCTTTCTTTTGCTATAAGATTAAGTTTATTCAAAAGTTTCTGAAATTTCTGATATTTTAGGAGCTACTTATAACTTTCCAAGTTTGATAAAAACCTGGATATTTGGAAGAAGTCATTAATAATTTGGGAAAGTTATAACTAGTTTAGTATAACTGCAAGGATCTTCAAGTTTTAAGAAACTAATTTTAACACATAAGGGCATGGGAGAAACAAGAGAAGATAACATTATTGTAAATTTAGAGATCTTAGGAAAATATATCAATAATTTATGAAAACTTCTCAATCTGATAACCCTAAAAACCTTACTTTGAACTCCTGCTAGGGCTATAGTTTCTCCTTGGAAGACTTCTTTTCTTTGAAAACCCTCCAGAAATATTAGAAGATATAGAAGGTTCCCTGCTATAAGTTTTCTTATAACTTTTAGTATCAGTCCTAGTTGCATCAGTCTTAGTATATCTGGAGTGCTGCACTTTGTTCTTTGATTTCATTTTCTTGTCCTCCTTTTTATGAATCCGGTTAGATGCTTTTATTTTACCGTTTTTAGATGACTCTTCTTCAGAAATAATTGAACCTGTATTAGTCCTCCCAAATTTTGAAATGGCGAGATGACTCGGTTCTGAATGCTCAACAATAGACTGAACTATTTCAGAATTTCAAAAGTCTCATCACAACTTTTTACTATCATTAGTAGAGTTCTTTTGCATATTTGTTGTTACATTGTAATATTGATTGTTATTTCCCTTCCTTGAGCTGATTCGATGATTATTTAACTTCTGGTTTCCCTTTCCCTTCTTTTTAACGGTCCTGCTCCTGTATTTATCAATAGCATTTGGCTTCAGATGTTTCAGCTTCACCTGCCTCTCCCCTGGGTGGTTAGGAAACTCTGAGAAATTAGAGATGATGGTATTAGTTCTTTGAGTAATCTTCCTAATGTACTCACCTCCTTCACGAGTTCCCACATCATCTGTCTTGCTAGTAAGCTGTCTGTTCTGAGAGTAAATTTTAGTTTTCCTAGAATTTATCTTCTGGTTCCCTCTCGGGCCAATTGCAAGGTAGTGGCTTCCTTTGTTTAAGTTCTGCAGATTGGGTTTGTTTTTATTTTTAAATGTTGAACCATTTATTTTTACTTTCTTCTTAATTTTTGGACTTGGGTCTATACACATTGGTTATTTTCATTAATTTTCTAAAATAAAACCACTTACGAATTTTGCCTTTTTCTCTCAAGGAGCTGATAACTTCAGGAGAATTATTTTTCTTGCTTTGGAAAATTTTATTAGAAATTCCTTCCCACTCTTCACTTTCCCGATCAATGTTATCTAGATTTTTACTTGTAGAAGGGGAATCTATCTGTTCAGTATGAAAATCTGACTTATCATGGTCATTAGATTTCTCAAACTCTCCTTCTTCTGGCTTTAATTCTGATTTTACGCTCAACATTACTGTGTTTGAATCTATACCAAATTTTTAGTCATCATTGAGTTTGGAGGTTTCAGATAACTGGTTTATCAGAGAAATCTCCAATATTCCCAAAATGTGTGAAAGTTTGAACCATTCTTTTAAAATATTCTACATTTAGCTAAAACTCACTATTTTTCCTCTAACTCAGGGTTAGGAAGCAACTGTAAGTTGCGAGTCTGGTTTGGCTCTTCGATACGTTTATAATTACGCTTGTTCTTCCGTTTGAGACTCAGATTATTTAAGAACAAAACACTACTAATTTCGTTCTCCTGATCACTAATATTCCTGTCTGGAAGAATATTCGAAAGTAGGCAGATCCTATTTTGAACTATTGAATAGCTTTCTTGCTCCATCTGGGGGTCCATCCTTAAGGTTTATTCTAATAAAAATAATTTAATATTCTTTTCATTAAAAATTCATTGATTTGGGGTTTTGGGGTTTTGGGGTTTTGGGGTTTTGGGGTTTTGGGG